TTAGGTAAAATTTCTTTTCATCGAAATTTATTTATTTATTTATTTATTTTTTTTTTTTGGAATAAGTTCTGTTTTATTTTTCATATATTATATACGGCAGTAATTATCGATTGACTAAAGTACACATAATAGTAAAGTTTTTGCCATTGTATATATGCATTTAATGTGAGTTGTTATTTAAATGTTTTCACTGTTTTCTTTCGTCAGAAAATTTTGTATCCACGCCTTGGCTGATACATTCAATATGCCATGTTTTGTGTATTTTGATCCCTGCCTGCTGACCATCGTTTTACGCAATAGCCTAGATACAATGTTTATGTGTATAAACCGTTAATGAAGACCCACCACCACCCAAGTGATCCTACCTCTATTACTCTATTAGTACACTGGTGTAGTTTTACTTTAAGATGGACCATTTTGTTTAATAATAATAAGACAGACTTTGGTCAATTTTGTTTACATCTCTATATTTAGAAATTGTGTCATCGTCAGTTCCTTTGCCAGACCACCAGCTTATCAATTGCAGCTTACACTAGGACTTCACTTCCGGTGATTCAAACTTAATGTGTCATCTCCCGAGGGAGATGACAATAAAATCATTACAGATAATGATTTTCGAAGAGTACATTACTGACTTATAGAATTAATTACAACGGTTGTAACAACCATGCATGTATTTCCGTGTCAAGGCAATTCCGTTTAAAATAATGAGAAAAAAATTAAAAAAAATATATTTTGCTAGTCTGTGGACGTATTGCATGTATACACTCGTATTTATAAAAAAAAAATGCAATAATATATTTATGTGTCTTTTCATTTTTTTAATGATGATTTATTCGGCAGACTTCTACGTGTATCTGTAGACAATTCCCTGTGATTATACTCGGGCAAGGTGATACAAAGAAGCATTCATATTATTTGTTATAGATTAAAATTTCAGAACTTGGTATTTAAGTAATACGTGTCATAGTTTTAATTAAACGGACAAATAAGAGAGAGAGAGAGAGAGAGAGAGAGAGAGAGAGAGAGAGAGAGATTTACCCCCCTTTCCACAAATGCATGTACATGTACATATGTGCTTGTATAAACAAAAATTCTTAATTTTTATCTAATATATCAGGCAGTGAAAGTAACTTTTTTTATTTATCAACAAATTCACTTTGTTTGACAGTCATAATCGATTTTTATTTCCCTGTTTCAAGTTCACACGAAGTCCACGTGCTTGTCCTGTCAATCAAAATCATTCGACACTGTGCAGGTGTGAAAGTCTCGTCACACCAAAGGCGAAGTGCTTCAATGTAGTATTTCCAAAAAGTTTTAACATGTTTTATCATTTCTAGATCTGATTCCAATTTTTCCAATAAATTAATAAATAAAATACATTGGGCATAATCACTTCGAATGACTTTGAAACATACTCCCTGGCCAATTTAAAATACCACCGTCGGCGCGTGTATATTTTGAACTATAATTGTTTAATGACTTTTTTAGATGCATGTTTGTTTTAAGACTGAAATGTTTGTGCTTCAAAACGCGTTAACTTCTTTTTAAATATTAATATAAGATATACTGGAAATACTGACTAAGTAACCGATCTACCTGGAAAAGGGGGGGGGGGGGGGAGGTCTTAATCATATTGAATGGCAAACATACAAAGTTATTGTGAAGAAAGGAATTTTTTCTCTCTAACAATAGAATTTATATATGAATTGTAGTATATTACATTTAAATAAATATTTTTAACCACACTATCAATTTAAATCGCTCCAAAGATATTTAATTAACTGAATATCCGCAGTACTATTTTTAATTCTCAGAACTAGTTCTAATAATGTATTACTATAACAATTGAAAAAAAAACGTGTTAGTAATAAATACTTTCGTAATTTTGCTGCAGTTGGTAAATTAATTGACATGGACTATTATCTCTCCATTAAACGACTTGTCGTCCTTAACATAACAAAATGTTGCAGTGCTTGAAGTACCCGTACATTGCCCGTATTTAAATTTAATTATTCAGCATCGTTCTACATAGGTACATACTTATAACAACATTCAACATTTTTTTCCAGAGTAATTTAATTAATAACCTAACAACTAAGTTAGAATAATAATAAAACATATTGTAGATAATTTATTCCCATAAAATAATGATCCTTTAAACACGATACGTTAATTTTTTAATTTTCAAATCCGGTAAATCCTTACTTACAAAAAAAGATAAGTCCTTTCACTTCGGAGTTCCGAATGACAGTGAAGACTGAACGATAAGTGAAAGCTGAACGCAAGGTGAACGCAAAGTGAACGAACGGAGAGCGAACGGTGAACGCTTTGTGAACGGTGAACGCGAGCGCACGGTGAACGCAGAACGCAAAACTGTGAACGGAGAGCGAACGGTGAACGCACGGTGAACGAACGGTGAACGCACGCTGAACGCACGGTGAACGAACGATGAGCGAACGGAAAAATGGGAAAGTAGAACGTTTCAGGGACTGTATCATTGAATTTGAAAAATAAAACACTTTGCACGCTAAAGATTATAATCAGGTAAATATAAAATATAAATAAGTCACAATGTAAATATAAGTAATAAGGTATCATTTTAAAACATCTATCGGGATATAAATACGGGTTGGTACGAGATCAAACGCAGCACAGTTAAGGCTGCAATAAGGAGGCCGCGTCTAACTTTTATGGGAAATGCTTACTATGACATCACACAAAAATACATGTTCTTCAAATTACCACAAAATGAAATGATACGCTTTTTAAACTGTTGGATAGCTTTAAACTACATCAATACTTACCATTGCATGTATTCTTGTCGTTGGTTATATCCCACACAGCAATATATAAACAATTCAATGATCGCAATACACATGCCAATGTGACGTCATAGCGTAAAATTTGACGCAGTTTGTATGCAGTGAGAGGCGGATCAAGTTATATTTTATACAATGAAAAATGTGTTTTGTACTTAAATAAAATATTATTTGCAGATATATAAGAGGGCATTAACTTTGATGTCTATTTTATGATATTATTCCCGTACATTCCCTAGACAAGTAAAACTGCCGTACATTTGTATGCAGATTCAATGAAGGGAAATAGAAGGGTCGTAATAAATCGATATATTGCAAGGGCATACCATCAATGAATTACGACAAGTTTTTACAAATAAACTCAAGAGGTATGAAGATATTTGAAAAGTGCTGCGAACCTGATGAAATCTTGCAAATGAATTAATTATATCTACATTTATTGTACTTGACCAGCAAAATATTCAACATACGGTCTAACAAATGTAATTTTAGCAATTATATATTTGAATCTATATAGGTTCGCAGCACTTTTCACAAACTACAAAGAGTGTTGAAAATAATTATAAATTAAACATAGATTTTTAACTTGAAAATGATACATTATTTCTTAAATAAAAACAAAGATTTTTTTTGTCAGTCTCGGATAATTGATTCTGACAATATGACAAAAGCATCAAAGGAATACCATAAGATTTGACTTCAGATTTGTGAGTCATTTAAAAATTGGAATTTGTGCAACGTATATATTTTTATAATGTGGTCTTCTGCTAGATAAATGATATCTCTGCCAGTATTAATTGTCTGACTACAATTCACATGCATTTCGTAAGTTCTATGGTCGATACAATGACCTTGTCAGCAAATACAATTTATCATTGAGTCAAATGCTGACTGACCTTTTTCATACTAATTGTTAGGCCATTATTTACACACTGAATTGTCGACGGATTTTTCCGTTATTTCCTAATTATGACAAGGAGCACACGGCGGGTGTGACCGGTCGGCAGGGGATGCTCACTCCTCCATGGCACCTGATCCCACCGCTGATGTTTGGAGGTCCGTGTTTGCTCTGCTCCTATTTTGTATTGTATAATGGACTTTTGAGCTTGAATACTGTTCGTTATCTCCATATATTTCATGCATCCTTCTTCTGTATCATTATTATTAACTTTACATTAACTTGATGCACTGACATTGCCCAATAATTTTGTTTTTTTTGTTTGTATATTGTTTAACTTCCCTCTCGAGAATTTTTCACTCATATGGAGACGCCACCTTGTGCCGGTGGAGAGTTGCAAATTTTGTCTTATACTCAGCACTTACGGCCATTGAGCAGTGAGGGTTCTTTTTCGTGCCAGTATCTACTGCGACACGGGACCTCAGTTTATACGGTCTCATCCGAAGACCGGTCCCCACGTCCCACAGAGGGATTCGAACACGTGACGTAAGGATCAACTCCTTACGCCGCGATTCTAGAGCAGACGCTCTAACCACTGCGCCACGCGGGCGACGCAATTATTTTGTCGTTTCACTGAAAACAAAATATGAATGTAAAGTTATCTTAAAATCAGGTTGACGTATTATTGATGTTTTTAAAATCAGGTTTTAAAGGACTACATTTTTATCACCGTCAATTAACAAACAGATTAAATTGAATCAAACTAGAATTGTTTTTGTCCCCTATTTCTCTGCCCTTTAAAGAATTTATCATAAATACACTTAAAATACTTTCCATCTGACCGTTTTTGGTAATTTTCCTTAAAAAATCTAATTGTTTTAGTTAAAGCAAATAAAAAAATGACTGTAATAATTCGTTACATGCAGAATTCAGGCGTAAATTTCTATTTGACGTAACAAGTAAATTATAAATCTGGTATTTTAAAGAAAATCCTCATTGTACAATGAGAGTTCATTTCGTTATCTTTGTGCTTTTTTACGTATTGGATATCTTCTCAAATGTACATGGTATGTTATACATTTAAAATAGGGAAACTAAGCCTATGTTTAGTATTCTTTCTTTCTTTATGTTTCCAGTAAATAATGACAATATAATATTAATTAAGATCAACCGCATAGATAAACAAGTGCCCTTTTTAAATTCTATTAATTAGAATATTGATCTGTACATTTCTCAAATAATAATAACCAGGAATTAATGAATAATAAAACGTTAATCAATTAAGGTAATACACAAAAAAGTTTCTCTGGAGGTTTAACGATACGTCCAGATCTGGTTTGGAGTGCATTTTTGTGATTGGCGGGTTTGTCGCTGTCTTGAGGTGTAGCAGTATTTTCTATGGTAGACTCATTGGGACCACTGTCTTCCATGGGCATGTCCTGTTCATCCACTTCATCCTGGGGATTTTCACTTGATTTGTGGAGGTGAACACGATTTCTGCGACCAAGTCTCCCTTTGCTTTTCACTAGATAAAATGTTGGTTTGTCTGTTTTCTCTACGACTATTCCTTGGGATAAGGACTTAGAACCAGGCGTTTCCATTCTAACTGTTGTTCCATTGTCTAGGGGTGATAACTCCTTCACATTTCTTCTCCTGTCATAGTAAAGTTTCTGCTCGGCTTTCTGTGCATTAAGGGTTGCTTTACTTTTCTGAGGTCGTGTTTTGCTGGTTTAAGTATATCTTGTGATGCTGGAAGTGTGTTTCTAGGTCTCCGTCCCATTAATAGTTAAGCTGGTGACAAATTAATGTTTTCTAGAGGAGTTGTTCTGTAATCTAGCAGAGAAAGCTGCTTGTCTCACACTTTGTCCATAGGCTTTTTATAGTTTGTACTGTTCTTTCAGCCTCGCCATTCGAGCTTTGAAAATGGGGGCTGCTTCTTTCATGTTCAATTCCAAGCTCTGTGCAGAAGTTTTTGAAGTTAGCTGAGCTGAATTGTGGTCCATTTTCAGACCTGAGTTTCCCTGGAATTCCATGGCATGCGAAAACTGTTTTCATGGCTTCGATTATTGCTGTAGTTGTCTCTGATCTGAGTTCTATGGCGTCAATATATTTTGAATAGTAGTCCACCAGAATCATGTTTTCTTGCCTCTGAATTCAAATACATCAGCTCCAACATGAGTATAAGGAAGATCTGGAATTGGTGATGGCATAAGAGGCTCTCTGTTTTGCTGTTTCTGATACTCTGCACAAGACGAACAATTATTTACAGTCTGTTCTATGTCGGCATTCATCGCTGGCCAATACATGACCTCTCTGGCACGACTCTTTGACTTGACTATTCCAAGGCATCTCTTTCCGCAAGCTGGGTGGGGGATGACTATTCGACTGTCCTTGTACACAATGTCAAGAACGGATAACTGATCCCTTGAGTCAAAGTACTGTCTGACTTCATATGGAGATTCATTCTTTGTGTCTGGTCATCCTGTTTGAATGGTGCTCTTGAGAGTTTCAAGTTCACTTCTTGTTGATCTCTGGATTTCGGAGTATTTTTCAGGTGTTATGGATAACATACAGATCATATCTGGTTTTTCAGTCTCATCTTCACCGCTTTCCGCTAGGTAAGCCCTTGATAGAGTGTCTGAAATGTACATCATAGCATAGTTCCTTTCCTGTATTTGACAGTGATGTCATACCACTGCAGTTTTATCATCATCCTCTGAATCCTCACAGGAGCTGACAGTAAAGGTTTGTTAAACAAAATTTCTAAGGGCTTATGATCACTGTACACTGTGACCTCCTTTCCGAAAATGTAGTTGTGAAATTTTTGACAACTGTATACTATAGCTTGCATTTCTTTCTCAATTTGAGCGTATCCTTTCTCGGAGTCTGTAAGAGCTCTAGAACCATAAGCTACTGTGCGGCCTTCTTGTATCAAAACCGCTCCAAGTCCGTCTTTACTCGAATCGCATTCGATCTCGACAGGTTTGTTCACATCAAATAGAGCTAATACTGGTGGCTTGGTACATACATCTTTAAGTCTCTGGAAACTTTCATTCTGTTCGTGGTTCCATTGAAATTCCACATCAGACTTTAGAAGGATTCTTAGAGGAGCATCCAAATCACTCAGGTTTGGAATAAATTTCGACAAGTCCTGGACAAGTCCCAGGAACCTGCGTACACCTTCCTTGTCATGTGTAGCTGGCATGTTTAGTATGGCCTTGATTTTGTCTGGGTCTAATATGAGTCCCTGGTCCGACATTATATGGCCCATGATTGGCTCACTAGATTTACGAATTTTGCATTTTTCAAAATTCAGTTTCAGATTGTAGTTTGTTGCCCGTTCCACAACGTTTCTTAGTATGAAGTCGTGTTCCTCGCGTGTTTCACCTGGAATGAGGATGTCATCTATGATTGCAGACGCACCTTTGATTCCGGATATCATGTTGTCCATGGTCTTCTGATATATTTCTGGTACAGATTTTATGCCGAAGGGTAGGCGGAGCCAACGATATCTTCCTATCGTGTTAAATGTTGTCAGGTACGAGGATTTCTCATCGAGCCGAATCTGCAAAAATCCTGATTTGGCATCCAATACTGAGAATATCTTGGCTTTCGGTATGTCAGATACGACATCTGCAATAATCTTCATAGGATGATGCTCCCGTTTTATGGCACGATTCAAAGCTCTTGGGTCTATACAGATGCGTATCTTTTCTTCCTATACACTCACTATCATTGAGCTGACCCACTCTGTTGGCCTGTCCACTTTCGTGATGTATCCATTGGTTTCCATTTCTCTCAGCTTGTTAACTGCCCTGGGCTTGATTGCTGCTGGGAGTTTCCTTACAGGATGAATAACTGCTGGTACAGATTCGTCTATACTAAGGTGGTACTCTCCAGGTAGTGTTCCTGTAGTTTCTATAAGTTCTGGTTAGTCTCTGGATTGTTCACTTTGCGCACTTTCTGTAGTCTCAGTCACAGCTGATATCTTAGTCTGCGAATCACGCAGCAATGTTAAGGCTTCCCGAAGCTTTAAAATGCGCTCAAAACATAATATGTCATTGCGAGGTCGGTTTTGGTTTTTAATTTATAAGTACTGAACTTTAGTACTTCCAATTTATATAGAGGGTTTCCTTTGCTATACATGTATATTAACATATTTGTTATGATATCACATGACTTTGTTGATCACGTGACGGTCATTTATAATTTTTTGAAGTGTTTCACATAAATCGCTTCGGCGCAGCTGATTAACACAATAATTATTAACATTTTGTTATATAAATAAACTCATCATATCCTTGTGTATCCGAAATGTGCTTGGGAAAAGTCATTGTATTACTTGGGTACAAAATATTTCCTGAGAAATTCAACTTACCTACAAATTTTAGGGTATTTTCCACACAATATCGTAATCTGTATTAAAACAAAGCCAACACACATTTTTCCCAAGCAAGATTCAGTTAGAGAACAACCTCTTCTTACAGATTTCCACAAAAATTCTCAGATTAATCCTCATTAATCACCTGCGCCAGACTCTTTGATACACATAAAATAAATTCTACCTCCAACCACGGGTATAAAACAGAGTACATTTCAAAAGTATATTTTTCATGAGCATTTTGAACATGCTAAATTTCAATGAAGGGTAGGTAAGCGGTGTATTTTTAAAATATTCGGACACATAAGACTTAAAAAACCTTTAACGACCCGTGAATTTTGCAATAGCTATCTAGCATTTTACATGCAGTTTGAAATAAAGTGTAAAGTTCATGACACTCACCCTGTCATAACACCTCAAGTTTGCAGTGACTTGACGTAATTTTCCATTATGACGTCATATTTTGGTCGTTCAGAGATGTGAAGGCACAGAGTGCACTGTAATATTCTACGGGAAGCCTTAACCTACCTGCGCGGGGTCGGCTTTGTATATCAATCCAAGAGCGACTGCAGTATCACCACTGATGATATTCTCTTGATCAAAGTCGACCACTTCAAAGTGAACGTTAGTTTTACGATCACAGTAGACAACCGAAAGAGTTACTGATCCTATTGGTTTGATCTTATGATTGCTGAATGACTTAAGAGTCTTGTTAGAATTCTGGAGTTTGCATCCTCCCAAGTTTCTAATTTGAGCATTTGAGTATGTTAGTCCGTGCTCCAGTGTCTATCCTGCAGCGAACCTGCTGATCTTTGATACGGAGATGAACATCCCAGTTGTCATCCTGAGCAGACTTGACGGAAGTACACATACTAATGGTAAAAAGTTCTTCACCCTCTGACTCTGTATCTCCCTGTACTGTGCTGAGTTTGACCTGTTTCAGCCGACGACGACACACTTTCTCCAGTGGTTTCGCTGTTTACAGTATTTGCAAATAGTTCCTAGTGCTGGGCACTTTCCATGTTCATGTTCCAGACCACAACTTGAACAATTTGGATTGTCGATTTGTTTAGAGTGTTTTGGTTTTCTGGTTTTAACACTTTCCTCGCCTCTCATTAATTTGACTTGTGCTTGTGACAGTTCAAACTGTTGTCCAATTTCTATGGCTTTCTTAAGTGTGATATCCTGGCCTTGTTCTAACAGCCTCTCTTGCACTTTCTTATGTCTGATGCCACTAATGATCAAAACAATCAAAACATCATCATTAACCGCATAATCACAAAGTTATCAAAAATTTCGGCCCCTGTTTGTGTTCTTTGATGAAGTCTGAATCTTGCCATTCGCTTGTTTTTCTTGGGGTGAACGTAGTTTTCTAATTTCTCCAGAATTTTCTTTGGATCGTCTTCATCGTCATTTTCAAACACAAAACTTTTGTACACTTCCCTACCTTCTTGTGCAATCCACATGCCGATCCATCCTGCCTTATGTTTGGCATCGGATTTCGCGAGTGGCCCTTTGAAGATGAAACCCACGTGTTGCTTGAACCGGAAAAATTCCTGGTACAGATCTCCGGCTTGCCAGTCGAATCTAGGCTAATCGAACGGAAGCGTTGCCATTTTGAGTTTCTTCTGACACCATGTACTATTCTGGTAATATAAGGTATGAAGAGACACCGTGGGTGTATCAAACAGAATTTATTCCAGACAGGAACATTCAGACATTGCGGGTAAAATACAGCGATGACAGGGGCAGATAACCCTATTTACATTATTAGATAAGTCATACCATTACTAAATAGGTCGTACAACAAACATAGATAGGAGTACATTACAGCCCCGGAATTGAAAATTCACAAGTAACTGATACACTTTAAGCTCTCATTAGAGAAAACATATAATTCAATTTTTACAAAAAAATCAACAGATTGATTGAAATGGATCACAAATTAAGATGTGTCAAAATGCGAAAAATTGAACCGATCGTTTCAGATTATTTGGCGATTTCAATGGCAAAAAAGTGAGAGATTCAGTAGACGACGTCACAACATTTGACCTCTTAATATGACCTTGACCTTTATTGTACATGAAGAATGGAGATTCCTTTATATATGTCAAAATATCAGCCCCCTACTATTTATGGATCAAAAGGTACACTGCATTTAATGACAGAGTGTTATATCGCATTTAGACAGCATAAACACATTCTAAAATGTAACCAATACATAAGATGTCTCTAATTTTTAAAGAAAATATAGCGAAAACATGTCACAGCTTATTATTTTTCTTACAAAGATCATTAATCAGTGACAATATAGAGATATTTTTTCCAATGTAATTTTTACGAAATTAGTTAAAATAGATTTAATGGGTGTTTTGTACTACCTTAAAATAAAAAAAGGCAGACATCCCTGCTTGATCCTGTGTAAGGACTGCATGCCTATGACTTCATAAGACGTCAGACGTTACCCACGCAGGTAGGTTAAGGCTTCCCGTAGAATATCACAGTGCACTCTGTGCCTTCACATCTCTGAACTACCCAAATATGACGTCATAATGGAAAATGACGTCAAGTCACTGCAAACTTGAGGTGTTATGACGGGGAGAGTGTCATGAACTTTACACTTTATTTCAAACTTCATGTAAAATGCTAGATAGCTATTGCAAAATGCACGGGTCGCTAAAGGTTTTTTAAGTCTTATGTGTCCGAATATTTTAAAATTACACCACTTTCCTACCCTTGATTGAAATTCAGCATG